CCCCCCCCCCCCCCGCCTCCCCAACACTTCTCAACCCGCCTCCTACTTCAACCCTTCAGACCCACAAAACACAAAGCACCCCCAACCATCTACACAATAATCCATAACACAAGCCCGAAACAAAGCAACTCGCGACACCAACACAGAGATCCAAAACACAAAGCACCTAAACAATCCTTAACCTTATCCATTCTATAACCAATATCCTGATCATTGGGGTATTTGTTATAGAATGGATAATGTTAAGTATTATTTAGATGCATTGTGTTCAGGTAATGAGGTCTGGAGTAAGCGGCCCTAATGGAAAACCCCAAAGACTGTAACCCTATCTGGGAAATGCCCTCAACATGAAAACTTATAAAACTGATTTACTAAATGGTATCTAGTAAATACAATTTCTAATCTAGAACTTAACCAATGATCTTTTAACAGGTAGTTAGATTGAATTTTCTACAATAATCAATGCTAATGCTATTCATGCCTATCCATTCATTATTGTACTGTATAAAGCGTTGTAAATCCTTTTGGCTTCTTAACCGTTCTATATTTTCACATGGGCATTCTTCATACATAATTCACTCATTTGTTCGTATTGTTTAGTGTCTTTATCCCTTTGTTCTTCATGCTTGACCGATGTTTTTTGCATTCTTGTGCTTAAGGGTTGGCCACTACTACCAACATATGTATCATCCGTTATCAACTTTCTAATACAATAAATTCTACCATTGTTGAAGTCTTTACTAACTGAATAGCTATAATAATATCTTCGGTACATGTTCTATAGTGATGTAGATTAATGTATAGCAATCTATCATAGACAACAGAGTCATCGGAGCAGATCTCAATCATGTTCTGCGAGACAAAATGTATAAGTAGTTGTTCGATCATGTCGGCTTCTGTTAAAGCTTCGTAAGCTTCGTAAAGTTCTATTTTCGCGGTCATTTATGATCCCATCTTAGTATTTGTCCCCGTCATACTTGTCTCATTCATTATTTCGACTGTAATCCGACAATAAATTTGTTGGACACGCATTGTTTGTATTGTAAGTGATGCTACAAGCCTCGTGATCAGGATTGAGATAGTTTAACATACGACGAAGGAAATAGAAATGTTCGGAAAGAGATTGCAAATCCAATTCCCGATAGCGGTTGTGAGCTATTTGCAGCTCCACGAAATATTATAGTATGTCGGCAAATCCAAGCCCGCGATTATCCCCAGTTGCCTGATAACCACGACCATTAACTGGTGAGTTAATCATAGGGATGAAGAAATAGGAATATTTTTCTTTGAAGCTTTCCATCGGTAAATTTTGCTCCCCGTTGTGTTCTATAAAATGTAAGGAAGGCATCATGTTAGAAGCACTCTTAACGATGCTGGCATTAATCGCAGCTCCATTTGCATTAAAACGTTGCGTGAATACGTAGTAGATAGGGTATACAATTTCAATGAACCACACTCTAATAAATGTTGTGTCATACTGTTATTGACGACGCTATTAAGTTGCCATGTCGTTGATGTGTCGCCTGTTGTACAGTAGTATCCGGCACAATCACCGCCACTAGAAATTGCTACTATATCTACTATTGCTTGAAAAATGGCAAGTTTTCATCACTGACAATTGTAATTTCAATCTCTAACGGAACATAATGTACCCGGAGATAGTATATCCACTGTTTAGGAAGCCGCACTTAATTCATGCCCTAACCTTACATATTCACCACCACCGCGACTTCCACTCACTGAATGATGAGCATAGCGATGTTCTAATCCTCCCCATTCACTATTCTCTCCATGGTCTGCATCATTTACTTGTGGTTCTACTCCATCCCCTGCGTCGTTGAGTTTCACAAACTGGTCAATGCCGTTAGCGTATTTATGTCTCCAATCATCATCCCAACGACTTTCAATATCAGCCTTGGGTCTAGCATCTACTGGTTTAAAACTGTGAGATCATTCGCAATGGCGGTTATACTGGTCCATATCTTGAACTAATTGACCTCCTACCATACATCTATAGTGTAATCCTTATAATGGGCGTGCCATCCTGAAAATCAGGGAACATTCGAATACTTCATAAATTCAAATCAGCGCCATCATCCCCTGTAAAAATCAAATGTTGTTTTTTTCCTTCGGCCCTTGTACAAAAATTAGAACCTGCTGGAGGATAGCTGACATGTCTTCAGTAATGGACGTATTGGGCAGTCCGAAATCTCATGCTGGGTTCAGTACATCATTTGCTTATGCGACAAGGTTATCTATAATATACATAATATATATATATATGTTGAATGGAATAAAACTATGTGAGATATTTCTTGTCATTTCTATTCTTTTCGGGAGGTAGCATGTTCTAGATTTTGTTTTATTTGTTCTTTTGGGAACAATTTCTCACTTCTGCTATCCTGTTTCTCTTACGTTGCGATAACCTTTTTGTTAATGTCTTTTTGTAATGAACGGGCTGATTCAGGAAGGCTTAAAGGTCTTGGAGGAGGTTTTTACTAGGGTCGCAGCCCCCAGACCTCATTAGGGAATTGTTGAGGGTAGGATTTGTTTAGGTGGCTTTGGTTTTTGGATTGTGTTTTGGATATTGGTTTGGTTTCAGGTTGCTTTGGCTTTGGATTGTTTTATGGATGATTGTCCAGATTGTCGGGTGTGAGCTGTGTAATACGGGGTTAGCCGGGTTGATTTAGCGGGTATTGAGTGAAAGGTCTGTGGTCAGCCTCTGCTTGCTCCCACGAGGGGAGGGAGGCTAAGAAAGTGGCCTCGCAAGATCTCTGACAAGATTTAAGATTCATGTTGGGCTGGATGGAGCCTTGCTCTGCTTTGACCTGCATTGCAGACTGCCTCGTGAAGATCCAAAACGACGGTTGTTTACGACTTGTCCAACATTTTTTTGCTCTGGCACATCCGTAGCTTGTTTTGCAAGCTTCCACTATGTTGCCAACCTACACTGCAGAACAGTCGCATACTTGTACGCTGTAGAGCTCTTCTAGGAGACTCGAGACTTCAGGCTGCGGGGCTTGCAAAATCAGAAGCCTCCTCATTCGCCAGTTTGCTGGCCGGAAAGATCTTCAGGTCATCGAACCTTGCTTGCTGGCTGTATGCAGAACAGGAGGAGACAGAGAGCAAAACTTCTTCGTGCGCGGCAGTCGCTTTAATTCATTGGAGCCTCTGAGCATGGGGACTCTCGCCATATGATTCCTGGCCGCTTCCAGGCAAGCCTCCAAAATGTGCCATGACTTACCAAGTGTCTTCTGCATGCTCTTTACTCATACTATCTCTGTGACAGAACTATTACTACAAGTCTTAAGACACTTGTGACTTGTGAATACCACGCTGCAATTGTCCAATAAAGTTTGCCTCAGAGAGATGCTAGGTTCACAATTCAGTCTCCACTCGCCAAGTGAGCTGAAAGAACGGATCCGCAAGGTGCCGACCCATCGCAGCAGATCGAGAACTGCTCGCAAAGGGCCTCGCAAATCAAAAAGAACCTACGCTCTCTTACCTGCTGTAAGACCAAAAGAGCAGTGCCCCAAACACATGGAGGCTTCAAACTCACACACCTAGAAGCTCATGTGGAGAGAAAATCTTTCGTCGATGCTCGCCATCACGATAAGGCCCCCAATGCCAGCAGTGGGTCTCAAATGAGAACTGTTCTATCAGAAGCTTTGCATCGCATTTGCATAGTCATGTTCTGACATTCATCTTCCATCCACCATCAGTTCTCGTGCATCGACAGACCGCGATGAGGATCACATGCTTGATTAGAAGTAGATGTGCCAACGCGCCAGCTTCTGCTTGAAAGCACTTACGTGCTAGCAGTATCTAGCACTGATACTTTAGGTGGCAACATGGTGGGGCAAGGTCCCGGGTGTCCTGGTGCAGCAGGACAGCGCTGATCTGACACATGACGAGAAATAGAAGGAGGGATAGCGCCGCATCCAGACCCAATTACACTTCAAGTAACAAGCGATGACAGGGTTGTATATGACACTCCCGCACAGGCCTCGCCCATCATGATGGCATAGCAGTATGCCTTCAGATTCGCATCCCAGGTCCTGAGCAGGGCTGGAAGAGCAGGAACGACTTCAGCGGCTCACAGCGGAGGCCCACAATAGTTGATAGGGTTCCGATTCTCATGATCCCAAGTGCGCGCGCAGAAAAAAAGATTGCATTCCGATTAATGCCACTTGACCTTACGCGTAAGCTGCGGGCATCTTGCCGTAGGACCAGCCATTCGCACTGCTCATGATGAAGTACCTCGGACATGTTGCTCGCCAAGTGCCAAGCCTTCTGGGACATATCTTGGTGGTACAAGGAACTGAGGCGAAGCTGTCTTGATAGAAAGCTACTTTGTTGAGGTCTTGCATGCTGCTATGGCGCATCCACAACAACTACTTGTAGCTGTCACGATTCATGATCGACAATGGCCTTCACCCGCGTGAGGGCAACTTACCAAGCTGGAAGCCTGCGCTTTTTTCGAAGCCTTATGCAACGTCAGACAGGACATTCATTCGTTCTGTCCAGGCACTATGAATCATTCCACATGAAATCTACTAGGTCTATTGACAGTAACGACATGCCGGCGTGCCCAGCAGCAGGCAGGTTCTTCACCTCCTCCGAGGTGGGCATTTTGTGCCAGCTTGCATAGTCAACACAGGCATCCAAGCGTGGAGAGCAGTGCTTCTTGAGAATGTGGGTGCTAATAGCACCTGTGCACTCGGCAAAGGCCATCTTGAAGCCATGCTGTTTCGCCACAAGCAATGAATGCCTCAGCAGCTTTGATCCCACTCGTCGGCCACGTGCGGAAGACGTCACGCCAAGCATCCAAAGATGAAAGTACTTTCCAGCGGCCCTCTCTTCCGGCTTCAGCGGAATGTCATGGATTTTCATCATGGTGTCCTCAACGTCTTCAATCATGGCCAAGAGTGGCCTCTCCGCAATGCTACTCTTGATAGTTGTACAACTGTGTTCTTGATAGGTCGGCCCTGCCTTTTTTGGATCTTTTTGTGGGACCAAAGCTGATATCGCGGGATCGAAAGTGCGCCCTGCCTCTTGTCCAGTGTACGCACTCGTACGACTACTCCTACTACTCCTATTACTCCTACTCTTCCTATTACTCCTACTACTTCTAATTCTACTCCTACCCCTGCAACTCCTGCAACTCCTACGACTCCTACGACGACGACGACGACGACGACGAAAACGACGACGACGACGACGACTACTACTACTACTTCTTCTCCTCCTCCTACTCCTACTACTCCTCCTCCTACTCCTACTCCTATTCCTACTCCTCCTGCTGCTGCTGCCGCCGCCGCTACTTGTAGGCCCCTCTACCAGCCATACTCCCCTAAATGTCAGGACCAGAAGTCCTGCGGTGCAAGGCATCTCAGCCTGACTCTTGCAAATAATGTTAGTAATTACCATGTTCCATGTGTGCCCTTCGAATGGGTGTGACTATGCCCCCCACCCACCGTCCCAGCGATCCAAACCCAACCACGAAACCCCTTGCCATTTGGGGGGCATGACTGGTGGCGGCGCCTACTGCTACTACTTCAACGACTACAACGCTTATGATGACTATGACGACTACTGCGTACTGTACTCTACAACAACCACGACGATGACGACGACGCCCATGACGACCACGACAATTTCACTTCATGTAATGGTCGACCCTTAAGAGTTTCAAGCAAGCCCCCCCTGAACCCCAAAAACCCTTCAACCCAAACGATCACTCCTCGACCCTGCAATCTGGATGAGTCTAGTTCGACATCTTAGGACTACCAACCCGAAACTCTTCAACTTACACCTTGGAACCGCCCCATAAACCCGAAAGAATCTAAAAGACCTTAAACCCTGAACCCCAAACACCAAACCTGTAAATCCTAGTAAAACCTAGACCTAAACCCAAACCTGGTCGGCTAGACCCTTGGCGCTAAACGTAACCCCTACAAGACTTTCAACCCACCCCAAACCCTAACTCCTACACTCTAAGCCGCCTGTGGTGACTTAGCCACGCAAGACCGCATGAAGTCTGAACCCTACGTAGATGAGTCTAATTTGAGACCCACCAAACCCAAACTCTAAGCACTTCAACACTAGTCTCCCCTTGAAAGACCTTTACAGCAAACCCTACAGTAATTCTTAAACCCTGAACCCTAGGGCTGCAGGAGTCAGGGGATGACCAAATCCCTGAACCAGCCTAAAAGAAGGATGTGTGCTGGACCCCTTTACCTGATATCTACTCTGGAGCATGGTGCAGTGCCCCTCTTCCTGGCAACAAACTTCTGGCCCCCACTATCTGCAGAGGTCGTTCAGGCATATCAAGGCACTTCAGCTTCCGTATCTTTGCCTCGCCTCCAGTTCCCTTCAGCGGTTTCTAGGAAGCGCTCCATGCCCGGAGGATCGGGGTTCATAAAATCCTCATTCAGCAAGGCGCCCAATACCTGAGGGGTTGGAGCCTCAAACAGGCTCAGAAAGGTATTAGCGAGTCGAGTTTTTCTGAAACAAGATGGGCTGATTATGGTTTTGAAGCTGTGACCAAGTGTGCCTATAACCTTGTTTTGCAGAATGATCGACATCACTTGTAACATCTCTTTGCGCTGCCTTCCCTGTGGTCTTGTCGAAGGCTACCACGGTGAGTCCTTCGGCTGCCATCCGAGGCAGGAACATCTCTGTAAAGCTGCGCCAATCCTGGAGGGTGCAGGCAGGCCTCGATGCGGCTGATACGGGCTCCCCCTCGTGGAAAGCTCCAGCTACTGCATCCAAGACTGCTGGCACGTCCTCCACCCCCATGGTCCGATAGAGGACCAGATTTTCCTCATCAGTTTCTAGATCCATCGAGGACACAGCCTACCGCAATCTTCACAGGTCTTGTGCCTTGTGTTGCCCTCTTTTCGTGAAGTTTGCTGAGAGCCCACGGCTGCAGAAGACTGCCATGTACCTTGGAGCTGGCGGACATCACGGGCCAGCCCAAAAGCACACCTTGAATTGAACCTGGAGCCCAATCCCCCAAATCCATAGCACAAATCGAACAGAAAGCTTCCCTCTACCACAGGACACCAACCTGATGGACCCGAACAAGGCAAATGCACGCCAACTGTATTTCCTGAAAGACCCTTGCAAACCTCTCCGAATGCATCAGCCAGAAGAAAGAATAACGTAACAAAACAATGCTGCTTCATATTGTGCCGGGATGCTGCATCTTTTGCGGGAGCTTTGCTCCTGGCACCCACGCTGCGCTAGCAGTTAACAAGGTCCCCGAACCATGGAAGAGCTGTTCCCTACTGTTCTTGTTTGGCCAATCTGACGAATTCTCTGCAGGTACATCCCTGTGGATTGTAGACATCAGGACTCACAAGCTCCTTGGAACCCTACCAGACCTTCTAAGTTGATCCGGATGCGGCAAGACAAACCGGATCCTTCTAAACCATGCCCTGATTGCAAAAGCACGGTGCCCACCTGTGTGTGGATAATGTGCACAACAAAGACATACATTACTGACCCCCAGCCACACTCGCACCCATTCCAAAGCTGATCTAAAGATTTCTAGCAGGGCCAGAACAAAGCTCCATAGATTGTTTGCAGCAGAGACTGTTGCAAAATATCTTTTGAGAACCCTTTACCCCCAGCCAACTTCTTATGGCTAAACCTTGCACATCCCGAGCCGCTGGCCGACCGTGTACTCGCCTGATGCAAGTCCCCAAGCATTTCAGGCTAAGGTTGCTGGGTAGGAACCAAGGCATGTGCCTCATGTCCGGATGTCTTAATCGAGCCTCAGAGCCTCCTCTGAAGTTCTAAGGCCGAACCCTTCTCTCAGCTATCGAAGCAATTGACGAGCCCTCCCCTCTGATAGATAGCAGCTCGCGTTAGGGAAGTGCCACACAGCAGTGCTCTGCACTACTGAAGCTTCAAATCCAAGTTTGGCCAGAAAGTTCAGGCAAGACAAACGGCCTGTGAGCCCTTCGCCAGAGTCACTGTGCTCGCCCTCGAAAGTGTCAATGCCTTCGGCTTGCGGCTTTACATTCGACCACATATCATATGGATAAAGCCGCTTTTGATTTGCTGGGCCCTTTGTGATAGCAAAACACTGATTCGGAATGCCGGATGCTTCGGGTGTCTGTCTGCAAAGAGACGAAAAATGGCAAGGCTACTGCAAAATACTATCAAAGACATGCGCATACTAATGTAGCCATTAGCTCGGCTACGAGGCTATGTGAAGCTGTCTTTCCCTCATAGAAAACCAATCGCGCCACAGCTCGTCAACATTCTAGGGCCACCCATATCACCCATGAAGATCAACCAACGTGACCCTGGCCTGGCAGGGGCATTGTCAACTTGCCGAACGATCCGATGTATCTGTGGATGCGCCCGGGACCTTCGACTCTCACTCGGTGAATGCAAGGCAGGACTGCAAGGAGATGCAACGAGTTCACATCCCGCATCGCGGTTTTGAGGTTATAGGCCTGGAGCTTAAGAGCTTGAGAAGTTTGGGTACTCATCTTTGGTTTCAGGACTTGAGTTTGTAGACATCATAACCCCAAAATGTCTATCTCCGAGAAATCCGGCATCACAAGGTGCAACCTACACAGAACCCCGAACACCATCCAAAAAGTCTGAACTTGAAACAATCTGGGGCCCAGGCCGAAGTCCATCTTCTGGAGCGAAGCCGGGGAGGTGTTTCGTGGCCCCGATTGGGCCCGGCACTGGGCACGGCTCGCAAGGGCCAACAACTCGAGGCTGTTGAAATCAATTAGTCCAAAGACGAAACTTCTACAAGTGCGGTCTCTTTCCCACATAATGCAAGTCCAGGAGTACCTTGTGTCAGTGTCGGGCACCTACTGTTTCAAAAAATTTAAACACATTCCATGAATTTGGGACATGGGCTACTCATACAGGGCTATCCAGTCTTGGCCACCTCAGGGCTCGATTTTTGAAAAGTCACTTCAACCTTTTGATGACGAAGTTCGCAACCATGGCTGGTGGATCTGAGGGCCGCCGTCTCAAGGTCATCTTCCTTGAACAAAAAGTAGAAAACCTAGCAACACCCTGCAACGTAAACCCTAAAGGCCCCACACCAAAAGGCGGAGCCCAAGGCCAGAATCCGGATGGATGAAACTGTTGGGTTTGAAAGGTCCGAACTCATGTTCCACTCCTGCATGCTGTGGCTGCCCTAGGTCCTGCCCTAGGTGCCTGGCCCAGATGTCACCTCGTGCCTGCACGCTGCAAGAAAGAAAGATGAGCAATGCTTTCCAAGTCGTTCCATTGAGCTGACCCCAAGCTTGCGCGGGATGAACACATGTGGCAGCAAGGCTCAAGGTTCCTGCTGTCACTGAACTTGTCTGAGAGTCAGACATTGGACCCGCCAAAGCCAAACGATGACACGCCGAAGAACCCAGTTTCCTGAAAGAGCTGCAGTTGTAGGGTTTCGTTAGCCGAGCTTCAGCTCATTTCAGCTCCACTGCGAAGCTGCACAACATGTGAAGGCTTTCCAACCCTTGAGCTTGAGGGGAAAAACACGCTGAGCTTTCTCGCCTTTCCCTGGTCCACGAACTCGGAGTTGAAGTACACTGGGTAAGCCTGATAACATGACGGGCACTCGGACATTCTGGCTCCGTCTGCTTCATGATGATAAGAGGATTCCTCGCCACCCTACTGCGTGCCTATTTCGTATAAATTCGCAAAGAATGGAAGCGGAGGACGAGGAGCAGGAGGAAGTACAGCAAAGTTACTTTAATGCCTCGTCGCAGAGAACAAGATCATCTCGCCAGCAACACGTAAAACGGCACACAGGCCAGACTGACGAGAAGGTATGCGGAGGATATCGGAGGATGGCACAGAGCCCTGGCCCTGGCTGAGCTTCCTCGGGTTCTGACCGCATCATCAATGTGCGGATTCAGCAACCTCCCAGAGCAGCCGAAACAGGCTCCGGAACATTCCTAAAGGTTGCTTTGTCTATGGCTAATCGGCAGCATGACTTGCTCTCAAAAACCTCACTTCCACTTCGACTGGAGAACACCAACATCAAGTCGCGAAAGGCAAAGCTTTCCTAAACCTCAAGAACAAAAGCAAAGATCACCTCAGGTGCAGGTTCGGCGCCGAGGCTGAAAAGCAGCCCTGGCAACAGGATGCGACAGCAACAGCACCGGTGCCCGCTTCCCGCAAGCGAGTCTGCAGTGCCATGAGGACACACTTCATGAGGCCATTGATGCCAGCCTTGGCACTTGACACTACCCTTGGCCTTCACTCTGGGCTCGGTATCGATGGGATCTGAGCCCTCAAGGAACCCTCGTAGTTCAAATGATGAATGACTGCTGGACTGGAACTTCCAAAAACGTTCGAGCAGAAAGTGTGCAGGGAAGACGTGCAGCACATGCTATCACCGTCCATTTGCCCTTCGACCTCTAGAGTGTTGTGTATCCATGCACTTAATGATCTGATCAGTCCGATCGCCGCTACAAATGGGTTTCTAAAAGGCTTGCACTTTTTTGGACAAAGTGCTGACCTTTAGAGGCCCTGGTGCATATGACACGAAAATTGCTGAGGCATGCCTCTCTCAGAGAATGGCAGACATCTCCGTGTGCCCCAAATTTGACTTCGAGCTCGTCTTCACCAGTGGATGCTCGCGGACCTTGCCTTGAGTCAAATATTCTTGGGCACTGAAGTCAATATCCAAGCTGAGGGATCACGTCTCTCTCCACTTCGGACAGCTACACTCACACCTTTGGAAGTTCGAAGCAAACGTTCAAGAGAAGTTAAGAATCTGTTCAGGGCTGCTGGTGTGGGCTCAGAATTTGGGCAGTTTCGGAAGCAGATGCTGGGGCCAGAAGCTACAAGCAGTCCTTTCAAGTCTCTTCTTTTGCGCAGATCACGCGTGTTGGAGATGCTCCTACTGTGACCAGGCACAGTCGATCGTGAAGAATCACGTGGGCTGTTGCCAATATTCTTGTTCCTGGAACTGACCTTGATTCGTTTTTCCCTGCGTGCCGCCTCATGTGGTAAGTATCTTGCAGGACCATATCATGATGAAAGATTTGGCTCTGATTTTTTAAAAGTGTCAACTGTATCTAGT